ACACAAGATCGGTTTGAGTCCTGTTCAGCGACTCTGGAGCTCAAACCGCGTCTAGAGTTTTGGCCGCCGGTGCCGGTCTTCTGGCCCACTGTGCGTCCCCTAGAAGACCCCCGGCCGGGCGCACGGTGTGCATGCTCCGCTTCCGCCAAGGAGGCTTCCTTCCGCGTGCCCCCGGGATGGCCCGGGATGGCCCGGGATGGCCCAGGATGGCCCGGGATGGCCCGGGATGGCCCGGGATGGCCCGGATGGCCCAGGATGGCCCGGGATGGCCCGGGATGGCCCGGGATGGCCCAGGATGGCCCGGGATGGCCCGGGATGGCCCGGGATGGCCCACGATGGCCCGGGATGGCACGGGATGGCCCGGGATGGCCCGGGATGGCCCGGGATGGCCCGGGATGGCCCGGGATGGCCCGGGATGGCCCGGGATGGCCCACGATGGCCCGGGATGGCCCGCGCCGCATCCGCTGAGTCACTCCGCCGCTCGTTTCCAAATATTTGTCCGATTCGCGACGATTATATCCGCATCAGGGAACCGGGCCGCGGCAGGGGGCGGCCTTGCCTTTTTTACGTCGCGTTTTTCTGGTTTTTCTCCGCTCCCTTTTCATCGCGTCGGTGAATTATTCTGTCTGTTGACTTATTCAGCGCGCTGTCCTCATCTTCGGGGCAAAAAAAGACGTGTCCGTCTCAACGCCCGACGCGGCGGTCTTCCCCGAATCATCTTCGGCGACAAGATTTTCGGCCAAGAAGCACGGCAATGCCGCCGCGCCGTTGGGTTTTCATTTGGATGTCGTCCTGTTTGAAGGAGGATAGTGATTGCGCACAGTCACAGGATTTGGGTTCGCAAAGATGCCTTTTGTTGCACTGAACAGTGGGCCAGAAGACCAAGGAGGCAGTCAAAATCCCATGCGTTTTGAGCTCCAAAGTCGCTAAATTGCGGAATTGAACCGAACGTGTGACAATGGATTGCTCTCCGAACTAGGAATCCATCGGTGGGGTCACACGTTCGGTTCGAGTCCCATTCAATGACTCTGGAGCTCAAACTGCGTCTAGAGTTTTGGCCGCGTGAGTCTTGCTGGCGGTGTACATTGTCAACTTGCCAGCCGCCGCCAACAAGACAGTCGTCCCTGCGCAGCGCGGCGCGGCGCGGCACAGCCACAGCGTCCGCAGCCCGACTGCAGTCTCAATTTGCCGAAAGATAATAATCAGAAACGCGGACAGACTACACAGTCGGCCGGCAAAAAGTCTTGTAATCACACCCAAATCCGGCCGGCGCGCTGCAGCGTCCACGGTATGACATCTGTCATAACACCGGACTGAACAGGGCGGGGCGGACGCCTAGCTAGTGAGGTAATCACCCTGAAGGATTCCTCACGAAAACAACAACTTCCAGGGGAAGAAAAAAATCAAAACACAAGTTCTGTCAAAGGCAACTAACGTTAATGACCCAAACGCCATAAGGTTCTCCGGCGGTGGGGCTCCGTTTGATTCATTTTTTGAAATCATTCGTTCCGATGCGCCTGTGGATTGGAAGAAGTGGCTGCTTGCGTTAAAAAGATTGTTTTAGATGCATTGTGCGGTCGGCTGCTGGAGGAGGAAGCATTTCCGTCTGGTTTACGTGTCCGGACCAACTGGCCTGCGCCCATCGGGCAGAAGATGACGGGCAGAAAACACCACACAACAACAACAACAACAACAACAACAACATCGCGTTTGCTCTAATAAAGCTGGCTGCGCAGCGGTCGGGGACATGAAGCGTTCATTTTCTCGTTTCCGGCAATGATCGCCCAATTTTGGCGGGGCGACGTCGCGACGCGTTCAGGCCGTTTCCGAGTGTAGGCGCCTCGGAATCGGAATGCGTCACCCTGTCCCTCCGCCTTGGGTTCAAATACTACAATACTACGCTAAAAAAAATTGTGAGAAAATCTTTGCTTGTACTTGGCATTTTTGAAGTTCAGAGGAGTGTGCGGTGACAAAATAGTTCATTTATCGCTCTCCTAGGTCGTTTATAAAAAGCAAAGAAGAAATAATTTATAAAAGGAAAACTGGTACTTAAAAAACAATCCGCAGGCAGATTCTCACCAGTAACAATCACGTACTTTTAGAGCGCGGTGGTGAGAGTGCCTTCCATTAGACAAACAAAGTGTCCCCAGAGAGTCTGACCCCCCAGAATCCACGACGGACACCTAAGCCCCCCTCTTCCCGCCCCGGCTCCTCCGCGCCCAATCCAGGCGCGCCGTGATGTCATAATTGCCGTGACGGTCTCGGATCTCTTCAAATAAGTGTAGTCGCGGGTTCAAATCCCTCCAGGGCGTGTTGACTTTTCCCTTTTGTCTTTTCCCGCGAGTTCCTTCACCGTCTCGTCTCGAGAGCCCGTCGGCGCTAATCGTCCTCTTTCTCTCTCTCTACTGCTTTTCTCTCTCTCACACTCTGAGACAGATGAGGTAGAAAATCGTTTGTTGTTTCCCGAAATGCGGCAAGTCCGCTAACACCTTGCATCGAAGTGCAAACGTCGCCCAACACGCCGCTGCACAGTGAGCCAGAAGACCGGTGGAGGCGGTGAAAATCTCGGATGCGTTTGGAGCTTCAAATGGGACTCGAACCGAGAGGGTCACCCCACCAACAGATTGGCCCCCGAACGAGGAACCCATTTGTGGGATCACAAGTTCGGTTCGAGTCCTGTTTAGCGACTCTGGAGCTCAAAATGCGCCTGGAGTTTTGGCCGCCTCCACCGGTCTTCTGGCCCACTGTGCGCCGTTGGCAGCGGCCTGTGTGTTTCCTCTTTTCCTCTGTACGTCCTGACCAGCCCCAAGCCTCGGCCCGCCCCGCCCCGCCGGTCGTGAGTTTGAGGCGTTTATCAGTGACGCGATCGCCATTACGGACTTATTGACGGCGGAGGCCGCCCCCTTTCCACACCTCACGCCGCCCGCTTCCACTATTTATACAAAAAGCGTTCAAATTGGAATTCCCCGGCGCGCTGAGCTGCGCTGAGCTGCGCTGAGCACACACCGACTCTCCGCGGAGCAGCGGGCCGGCCGGGCCCCGCTATCCGTGTGCCGACGCCCAACGCCCCTGATTATTGTATCAACGCGGAGGCCGTGCATCGCCAAGTGCGGAGCGGTTCATGACTTTACCATAAATACGCTATTGTTTTTGTTGGTATGATTACTACTATTTTTGTTGCTTTTTTTCGCATTAAACTTGCAGGAATAAGGATCGTCAATTTAGCAAGCGGAGCCGATAGCGGCGTTCAATCGAAGTTGAAGTCATTCGCCCTCATTATCGTCGCAATCAGGTTTCACAAAAAGCGGGTTGTTCGACTTTGGAGTCCGCGGAGGCCAATTTTTAAAAGTAACCCACGGGCTTCTTCAAATCCGTCACACACACACTCCGTCGCCGCGCGGCTGGGCGGCACACCAAGGTACACCCTGTGTTCCCACAGCGAGGTGCCAGGAGGGCCGTATCCTTCCCCGTTAGTGTTCGGACACGAGCCGGCACACTGATTCCGAAGACGCGGTCCTGTCTCTGTCGCACTCCTGGGGCGTCCCGTAGCGGCGCGAGAGAGACAGCGACGAGACCAGCCTCCCCGGAACCGCTCCCCGGGCTGCACCGGGCGCCCCACTCCGCCCCTCGCCGCCCCTCGCCGCCCCTCGCCGCCCGGGTGGAGCAGATAGCGCGATAGCCGACCCCAGTGCATGCCCTGGCCGGGTCCCTCGTTAGGCCGAACCGCGAGAAACTCATTTTCTTTCTGCCTCACGGTGCAACACCTACCGGGCCTGCCGTTTGGCCGAGGGGCTGCCGTTGCGACCGCCGTTTGGGTGTCTTTCGTTGGAGTTGCCGTGCAGGCCCCTGTTTGGGTCCAATGGGTCGCCAGACTGTCGTCGGGTCGGATCCCCTTCTGCCTTTGGATCTCATTTGACTGCCATTGGATCCCATTTGACTGTGTTTGGGTCCCATTTGACTGTGTTTGGGTCCCATTTGACTGTGTTTGGGTCCCATTTGACTGTCTTTTTATCCCATTTGACTGCCTTTGCATCCTATTTGACTGCCTTCAAATCCCATTTGACAGCTTTGGATCCCATTTGACTACTGTTAGATCCCATCTGACTACCGTTGGGTCCCATTATTACGTACACTTTCCGTTTGGATCCCATGTTACTACTGATCCATTCCCCCTGGACTTCCGTAAGCTCCCATTTGGCTCCTGTTGGACCCCTTCACCCCTGAGACTGCCTTCGGCTCGGCACCCATTTGACTGCCGTTGGATCCCCTTCGACTGAATTAAACGCCCTGGGTCTGGGTCCGTCGTCAAAAACGCCAAAGGCATTTGGTCCTCTGGAGGCTCGCCCTGACGGCTGGCCCTGACGGGCCCCTGGAGGCCTCACCGCCTTTGACGAAGCTTTGGCGGTCGAGCTAATGACTCATCTCAGCGCTCTCGGTTCGACGGGCCAGCCAAGTCTGCCCTGTGTGGCCGGTGTGCGTTTCGCGCCGAAACCGACGGTGGGGTGCCGCCTCGTCGGACCCATCCAGGTCGGCGAGTCCATCTGCAGCATTACCTGCCGTGAGCTCGTCCAGGCGGCGTCAACTCGAGCGGCGTCCACTTCGAGGCCCGGCGCCGCACCTCGCAGGACGTTCGAGATACCTGCAGGACGGCGTCGAACTCGAGGACGGCGTCGCACTCGAGGACGGCGAGGCGTGAACTCGAGCACGGCGTCGGACTCGAGGACGGCGTCGAACTCGAGGACGGCGTCGAACTCGAGGATGGCGTCGAACTCGAGGACGGCGTCGAACTCGAGGACGGCGTCGAACTCGAGGACGGCGTCGAACTCGAGGACGGCGTCGAACTCGAGGACGGCGTCGAACTCGAGGACGGCGTCGAACTCGAGGACGGCGTCGAACTCGAGGACGGCGTCGAACTCGAGGACGGCGTCGGACTCGAGGACGGCGTCGAACTCGAGGACGGCGTCGGACTCGAGGACGGCGTCGCGAACTCGAGGACGGCGTCAATCACGTACCTTTCGAACTCGCCGGTCTTGCCGCGTCGTGTTGGCCTTCTCGGACAAGCAGGGATCCTGCAAAAGGAATCAATGGATTTTAAAGTAACTGACCCAGGTTGATATCGCACTTTAAACCGCCTGTATGATTGCTAAATTTAAAGTGAAAGGAGTCGAACCCGGTCCTATCGGGCCGAAAAAGGCGCCCCTATGGCAGGTGAGAGCGTGGTTCATGGCCAACCAAGAATGACACTTCACTGCCTAAATTGAGCCTGTACACTGGTAAAACAAAGGCATAAAAATTACGCCCTTAAGGGCATAAATACTCTTTTACGCCTTTGCAAGGGCATAATCGTTTTATGCCCTTGGAAAGGGCGTAAATGGTATAGGAATTTCAAGCAAAATTTTAATGCCCTTCCCAAAGGCATTAACGATTTATGCCCTTTAAGGGCGTAAATCGTTTACGCCCTTTAGGGGCATAATTTTTATGCCTTTGTTTCACCAGTGTATCGGTGCGCATGGAAGTTGACCAGCCAAAGGCGGTGTCAGCCGCAGGGCCGCAGGTCATGCACCCACCTGCGGGCAGGCACCGCGACACAGCTGCAGCTGGCAGCGCAGGTGCAGACGGCTCCGGTCGGGGAACTTGAAGGCGGCGAACTTGGCGGCGGCCACCTGCAACAACGTCATCGTCATCCTGGAGTCGTCCCGGTGTCATCGCCATCGGGCGGCTCCGGCCAGCAGACTCAGAGTCGTTTTCGGCGCTCTGTCTCTCTCGCACTCACGGGACTAAAGACGCGAGAGAGACAGGGCGACGAAAACGACTCTCAGTCTGCAGACTCCGGCCACGCTGCGGGCAGGCCGAGGGCAGGCTGGCAGGCTCCAGCCAGGCGGATCACAGCCACAGTTTTGGCGTTTAGCGCGGGCAAGCCTGGCCAAGCCAAGCCTGGCGGACAAGCAGAGCGAGAAGCCAGCAGACTGATTCAGAGAGTCGTTTTCGTCGCTCTGTCTCTCTCGCGCCCACACGGAACGCCCCATGAGTGCGAGAGAGACAGAGCGACTCTCGGAATCCTGCGCGGCATTCAAGAATTACGTGATGAGAAGGCGAGCGACTCGCGCTGCGTGTGTCAGTGTGTCAGTCAGCAGGCAGGATTGCAGCATAATGGTCTCATTTTTCGAACGGTTCACCGAAAGAACTGAAGTCAACTTTTACGCCTTTCTTCCAGCGTGGTGGTTGCTACGCTTGGCTTCAAGCGTAGTGACTGTGTCCCACTCCCCTTCCGCACATCTAAATGCATGGGGGAATTTCATCTCTGTGCTTGACTGGCGTAAAGACTTCAAGAGTGGTTGTATGCTTGAATGAAGCGGACAACTACGCTTCAGTTTCCGTTTTGGTGTCGTCGCGATTGTAGCTGACTTCTGCTAGGATAACTCGCACGCGTCGTCGGGGGTGTTCGGGCACAATGTTTTGAGAGAGAGAGAGAGAGAGGGGGAGAGAGAGAGAGAGAGAGAGAGAGAGAGAGAGAGGGGAGAGAGAGAGGGGGGGAGGGGAGAGAGAGAGAGAGAGAGAGGAGAGAGAGAGAGAGAAAGGGAGAGAGAGAGAGAGAGAGAGAGAGAGAGAGAGAGAGAGAGAGAGAGAGACGCGACACGCGGTGCTCAGCCCGCTGTCCACGGGTCGGCGCGCGGCCCGGGCATGACCCTTGGCGATGACAAGGACAGGTGCTAATCCTTCGTGAACTCGCTCATCCCTGATCCTCGAGCCAGACGAAAGGCTGTGACCAATCCGCGGTCCGAGGGCCTTCGGCCGAGCCTTCGGCGGTCCGGCGGCCAGGCCGGGCTCAGGCGGCAGGCCCCGCCACCGCCACGGCGGGCCGGGCCGGGCCAGGTCGCTGCCCCGGCTGGTCCAGGACTTTAGTCTTGACTTTAGTCTACCGTGCAAACTGCAATTAAAACATCAGCGACGCGCTGGGGCCGCGTCGCGCCGCGCCATGCCGTGCCGCGCCGTGCCGCGCCCTGCTGTGCCGTGCCATGCTGTGCCGTGCCATGCCGTGCCGCCGAGGGCTGCCATGGCGAAGAGCCGCGAGCTTCTCCGGAAAATTGCTTCGATTTCCCACCGCCGGAGTCGCTGGAGCGACGCTGGAGTGGAATGGAGGATTCGCAGCGATTCCCTTCCGATCGTCCTTTTCTGCGGCGACTTTCCGTTTCAAAGGGCGAAGGCGTCGCCGAGAAGACCCTGCTCCTCTCCAGACGGGCCGCCCGGGGCACGCCCCCCTCGGGACCGAGCTCGGGACCCCCCGTCCCGTCTGGAGGCTCCAGACGCACGTTCGTCCCGAAATGGACGTCTCTCTCGCACCCCGCGCGCCGCCCCGCGCGCCGCCCCGCGAGTGCGAGAGAGACAGAGCGACGCCCTTCGGAGCGTCCCGGCCCGCCTCATTAGAAGCCGCTCACTGAGAAAATTGTGCAACGGCCGAACCCACAATTAAAAACGCCGACTTTTCATTCTTCATTTTTTTTCTTTTTTTTTCCGGTCCGCGGCGCAGCGTTTGGCACAACAATTGCCTCTCCAGCGGCGCCGGGAAGCCGCAGCAGTGCGGACAGTGTCGCCCCGCCTGTCTCTCTCGCACTCATGGGGCGTGTCGGGGCGGCGCGAGAGAGACAGAGACAGTTCGCAATCGGCCCACAGCGGGTCCTGGAGGAGACATGGTGTCTGCGCGCGTACTCCATGGCGTACTCCATGGCGTACTCCATGGCGTACTCCATGGCGTACTCCATGGCGTACTCCATGGCGTAGTCCATGGCGTAGTCCATGGCGTAGTCCATGGCGTACTCCACGGCGTACTACTCCACGGCGTACTCCATGGCGTACTCCACGGCGTAGTCCATGGCGTACTCCACGGCGTACTACTCCACGGCGTACTCCATGGCGTACTCCATGGCGTACTCCATGGCGTACTCCACGGCGTACTCCATGGCGTACTCCACGGCGCGGCCGGGCGTCGCTCCAACAAGTGTCTGGCCGGAGGGGTTGCCTGCCTGCCAGGCGCAGGCAGCCGCTGCCTGTTGGATGGGTTGCCTACGCGCACGGCGAACCCGGTCACTCTCCACCCGGGTGGGGCGGACATCGACCCCGTCTGCGAGGCGGAGAGGCGGCCTGCCTTCGCGGCGCCGCCACGGCTGGGGCAACGACCGGCCGTGCCTGTTGGAGGGGCTGCCTGCCGCCCGGGGCAAAGGGACGCCAAATGGGTGGCCTATCTCAAGGCGCGCTGAGAGGAACACAGTGGGCCAGAAGACCGGCGGAGGCGGCCAAGACTCTAGGCGCGTTTTCAGCTCCAGAGTATCACCTCACCGAAAGTATCCTCGTTCCGAGAGCAATACATTGTTGAGGTCACACGTTCGGTTTGAGTCCCATTTAGGGATTCTGGAGATCGAAACACGTCCTGGACTTTGACCGCCCCCACCGGTCTTCCGGCCCACTGTGCGGTAGAGCACGTTCGGCGTGCTGATGTGCGAAGTTTTGCATACCGCGCGGGTGCCGCGACTACGAGGGGTTGCCTCGTGTGGGGGTTGCAGTTTGGCGTGCAGTCTGGGCTGCCTACCAGCGCGGTGCCTTGCCTGCGCGGTGCCTATGCTTCATGAATGGCGTAATGTTACGCCTTGGCTTTGCGAGTGTGCATGCGGTTCGGTTCGCAGTGGAGCGACCCGTCCGTGCAGGTTAGGTTAGACGTACGTGCGTGCTGAGCCCGCTGGCGGCGCTGGCGCGTTTCCGCCGCTTCTTGAACTGCGCGGCGGAGGGCTCGCTGGCGGAGGCGGGGGCGTACGGTGCACTGGTGGTGGCGTCGTCGACGGCGTCCCCGAGGGTCGCGGGGCTGACGCGCACCTCGCGGAGCTGCGGCAGGATGAGGCGGTCCGTCGGGCAGCCCCGGCCGTCCGACAGGCGCTCCATGCCCTCGCCCGCGCCGTCGTGCGCGAAGCAGTCCGTCACGCGGGAACCGACGCCCGCTGCGGGCACACACCGGCAGGTTCAAGCACTTCGACCGCATCTACACTGCAGGACCCACTCTGCATGGCGCAACGTGGACCTGTCGCACAGTGGGCCAGAAGACCGGTGGAGGCGTCACAATCTCTGAACGCCAGTCGCTAAATGGGACTCGAACCGAACGTGTGATCCCACCACTTGATTGTTCCTCGAACGAGCAATCCATTGGTGGGGTCACACGTTCGGTTCGAGTCCCAGTGATCGACTCTGGAGCTAAAAACGCGTCCGAGAATTTTGGCCGCCTCCACCGGTCCTCTGGCCCACTGTGAGGCGGTGCCGGGCGGTGCCCTTGCCTGGCAGGTGGCTGGTGACGATGAGCGCGGCCTCCTCCCCGACGGCCAGCACGCCGGGGTCGCGCCCCCTGCCGCGGCCGGCCGTGCTCAGGATCTCCATGACGGCGCGCGCGCGCTGCTGCCAGTGCTGCTGCTGCCAGGACGCCGCGGACGCCGCGCCGAAGTCCACCGAGGGGATGTCCCCCCCGAACTGCCGGCCCGTCCTGCGCCAGAGAAGGGTGGTTAGGAAACCGCACCAGCTACACTGAAAACTTCAGCGTGCACTTAAGTGTTCACTGTGTGTACTCAGGACCAAGTTTTCAATGTAGCCCACACTGCAAAAAACACATACAAAAAAACGCAGCAGTTTCGTACGGGAAATGCGCGGAAAAGGGGGTACGCAAAAAGTACGAATCTTCGGTAGTGGTTCTCCTTGTCCTAGTCCCCCATAAAAAATCTCATGTACGGAACCGTTGTTCCTTTGGGCGAGGCATGGACGGTCCACGTCAAAAATAACTAACCCACCGATATGTTCCCTACTTTTCCTGCGGTTTTTTGTCTGGCAGTGTGAGCCGCTCTGCTGACGTCGCCTACCGGTGCTGCTGCAGGGGCTGCAGGGGCTGCAACAGCACGCTGGAGCTGGAGTCCTTGGCGGGGAGGTGGCACGACGCGGTCCTGGTCTGATCGGCGGCCTGCTGGAGGTGCCTGTCCAGCTGCACCACGATGGACGTCTGCAGCCACAGACCCTCGCCGTCCTGGGAGAAGAAACGCTTTTTATTCTCATTGTGTTTTCATTCAAGTGGGCAAACTCAACATTTTTTTTTATTTTGTGTGTTTATTTCTCGCACTCTGAGAACGAAACAGACTATTTACGCCTTGCGAAGTAAAGTAGCTGTTTTGAGCATACTTAAGCTTACAAAGAAAACAACTATTTTCTTTGTATAACAAACTAAATTAGTCTGTACTGCGTATGCTAAAAATACTTCGTAAAGTTTAACGCTTAAAGATGAAAATTGAAAATTAAATTTCAAATTCGGGTTTAGTCATCTTATTGTTTTTTCAGGTCAGGAGCCGTTTTCGGAATAAAACTCAAAAGATAACCACACACACTCACACATAGACCTCAAAATGGTCAAGTGTTTGACGGGGATTCGAACCCCAGACCACGCCGTACCTTGCTGGGGACGACCCTGATGCCGCACTCGGAGGCGGGCAGGCTCAGCATCACCTCCCTGGCCGGCTGCAGCGGCACCTGGTTGTCCTCGCTGCCGCCGCTGTCGCCCCTCTCGGCCTTCTCCTGCAGGAAGTCGAAGAGCTTGTGGTGCTGCTCGCGCGCCGTGCTGCACTCCAGCGGGAAGCCGCGCGAGTACACGATGCCGCGGAAGGGGTGCCGCATCCGCACCGTGATGTTCATGCTCTCCGCCGAGCAGGACGCGCCAATCCCTGCAAAACAGAGCGTGCGTCACAACGACGTGGCGCCGCCGTGGCCGAGGGCGCAGCGAGCTGGCGTTCCACTCGGGTAAGCCGGGTTCAAATCCCAAATTCTTTAGTATTTTTTTCGAAACGGAGGAATGTACATAGTTGACTCTTCTGAGGGTTGAAGTTGATGCTTGTTACCGTCTACTTGACAGGCATACTGTGAAAAAAGGTAAGTTACACTCTAACTTGCGACCATCCTGTGCCATACAATAACACGGGCCTACTGCTGTGTGTACACTCTTTTTACAGTGTCCGACCTTCAGGTCGACATCAATAAAAGCCAACCATCTACACTTTTCAGTTTCCAGACTGAAAACCGAAGTTCTAAAGTCGAAGTTCCCTGTTAGTTTTACGAGCGGGCAAATATTAGCGGGCTGCGGCTAGCCTGGCCCTTCCTCTGTTGCTCAAGTTTGATTCTGAAATGCCGAATCGTCCTAATTAGTGGTCCGCGGTGTGGCGAGATGGCCGCAGAGTCGTTTTCGCCGCTCTGTCTCTCTCGCACCTGTAGGGGGCGCCCCACGGCTGTGAGAGAGGCAGATCGAGACTCTCGAACGAGGCAGCACGTACCGAGGATGTAGTTGGACGGGCCGTGGCGGTCGGACAACGACGCCGCCGCCCGCTGCTGGAACAGAGTCGTTAATGAAAGATTCATTAATCATTAGGGACAAAGTCATCGCTGAAAATGTTATATAATGAAAAGAAACGGCATTGATGGAACGGTGTCAATGGCAAGTCAGTAAGAAAAAACGCGGAAGAAAATTTGTTCATGAAAAGTTGTTTTGAACACATCATGATGAGGAAATCGTTTATCAAAAGTTATTAGGTTGAAAATTTATTAATGCAAAGTCGTTCATGGGAAGTTTATTATAAAAAGTCGTAATTTGATTCTAAAAAAAAAAAAAATTTTCGTAAATGAAAAGTTTAAAAAAAAGTTTTAAATAAAACCCCAAAAACCCCCCCTATCTGAACCGAAACCTTGGGGGGGCGACGCGCCCCCGGGGGCCCGCCTGTACCTGAGGGGCCCGGGGGCCAAGGGACCCAGGCCGGGCCCCCCCCGGGGGACCCCAAAAAAAACGGACCGTTTTGACCCGAGCCCCGGGCTCCCGCGTGGCCCCAGGCCTCCCGTCCCAGATAAAGAAAAACGGGAGCACTGGAATTTGCCCAGAAGACCGGGCAAAAACCGGGGGAAAACCCGGCAAAAACGGGACCCCGTTTTAGTTTTCCTTAAGTGGCTAAAGGGCCGAACCGAAAGTGGCCCCCAGGTTTCGGAGGGGGATAACAAATAAATGCAGGCAAAAGAGTGCCTTTCTATTTTTCCACCCCGCTCGCAACCGTAACAGCGGTATCTGTAGTCAACAGCTTCTTCGGGCTCCTCTATCTATCTCTCTCTCGCTCTGCTGTAACTTGGCAATTAGCAATGCGAGCGACGCCGCACGGCAAGGCGCCGCGCCGCACTGCAGCGCGTGGGAATCCGCCGCAAGAGAAGCCGTTGGGTCCGCGTCATTGTTTGGCTTGTTGTTGTTTGCTCGGCTAGGGTTTCGCCGCATGCCGGGCCATGCACACGTTGCCACAGATCAGTTACAGCGCCAATTGGCAGCCGATGAGGCGATCCAGGCCGATCGGGTGGCGCGGCGCACCGCCCGACGAACCCAGGGTAGGCAACCCGCCGAATCCGAAACGCCCGACGAAAGCTGGATAGGCAATTCCCCACACGACCCTAAACACCCGGGTGGCCCCCGCCGCTTTTTTTTGAACGCGGGTGGAATTAATTTGCGGGTGGGACCGGGTTGCTTTTTTAAAAAATTTGGGGCCCGGGGTTCTGCCCCCCGGGCCCGGGTTTTCCCCGGTTTTTGGGTTCTTAAAAATTTATTAGACCGGGGTCCCTAATGTTTTCTTATTCAGCCAAAATCTTTCCCCGGCCCCTTTTTTTCCCGTTTCCCCCGCCTTCCCAATGCGTGCAAAAACCCGAAAGGAAAATTTTTCCCCGCGAGGCCCCCCCGGCCCGGTGCAGGGGGTGGGGGACCCACCCGAGCAAAAGGGGGCCCGCGAATCCCACCGAGGCGGGGTGCAAAAACCCACGGTTTTTAAGGGGCCCAATAATAAATCTGCAGAAAGGAAAGCGGCGAACGGAACGGACAACCAAAGAGGACGCCCAAACCCGGCGGACAAAAAAGCCCCCCCCACGGGCGGCAAAGACAAACGGACCACGCAGAAAAGGCCCAAACGAACCCACACCCAGGAAAGGGGGGCCGGGGACCCCCCACGGCCAAGGGGCCCCGGCGAACCGCAAAGCGGCGGCAAAAAGGGCCCCCCCGGACGCCGGCGAAAAAAGCGGGAACACCGGGGGACGAAAAAAGGTTTTTTGCCCTTGAAAACGGCTAAATTCCCCCCGGGGGGTCCAAAACCAAAGGGCCCGGGTCCCCGTGGGCCCGGGGCCCCGCCCCCGGGGCCCGCGCCTTTGGGGGGCCAACCGGTTTTGAAGGGGGGAAAAGGGGAAAAACCCGGCGCAGCCGCGGCAACGCAAAAATTTCCCCCCCGTCCCTGAACAAAGGGGAAACTTTTTTTGAGCCGCAGCGGATCGCCGGGACAAAATGCATGAGTGCCCCCGGGGCCCCCCCCCTTTGGGCCCAGTTCAAACACTTTGCACCAAATTTAAACACCATTTTGCCAAGCACCCCAAAAAGGGGGAAAGTTTTGACCGAGAAAGAGGGGTCCTGTGGGGGCATTTCACAGACGCGCGTCGGAGAGGACCACCGGGACGGCAGGAGGACGCCGACGATCATCAGGATGACGCCGAGGACACGCGACTGTCAGGAAAGCCGAGCGGTCGACCGGGCCATAGTAGAACTCGAAAGGACCCCCCACGCCCGACGACCACCATGAGGACGCCGACGACACGAGAGCAGACCCGTAGACGCCGACGACCACAGGAGGACGCCGACGAGCAACAGAGACGCCGACGACCAACAGGAGGCGCCGACGGCAAGGAGACGCCGACGACCAACAGGAGGACGCCGACGACCAACGGAGGACGCCGACGACCACAGGAGGACGCCGACGACCAACAGGAGGACGCCGACGACCAACAGGAGGACGCCGACGACCAACAGGAGGACGCCGACGACCAACAGGAGGACGCCGACGACCAACAGGAGGACGCCGACGACCAACAGGAGGACGCCGACGACCAACAGGAGGACGCGACGACCAACGGGACGACGGAGAAGAGGACGCGACGACCAACAGGAGGACGCCGACGACCAACAGGAGGACGCCGACGACCAACAGGAGACGCCGACGACCAACAGGAGGACGCCGACGACCAACAGGAGGACGCCGACGACCAACAGGAGGACGCCGACGACCAACAGGAGGACGCCGACGACCGCCAGGAGGACGCCGACGGCCAACAGGAGGACGCCGACGGCCAACAGGAGGACGAAGACGACAGTTGGGCGGCGGCGTCCTTTTTTTGCAGAGCGTGCTGTAGTGCACCGGCGCTGTCCAAATTATTCCCAGGTCCCCGCGGGTCCCCGTTAGACACGGCGCGGTGGCTGCAGGCCGCTGCGGGGCTGCGGCCTAACGGAGGGCACGACACACGCAGCATCGAGGCGCGGAGGCGCGCAAACACACAGGCGGGCGGACAGACGGACACACAGGCAGACAAGCAGATCGGCGGCGACCTCCATCTGGAACAGTACCTGGAGCTTTATCTTGGGAAAAGCCGCCAAAGTCCCGTGCGCCGCACGCGTGCATGCTGCCACCGTGGCCCACACACACTGACGCCACAACAGTTACACACACACACACACACTAACGCCACAACAGTTACACACACACACCCAAAAGTACGTAGCGTCGTGTTGACTCGGACGACGGGGACGACGGGGACGTGGGCCCGGGCCGGCCGGGTGAATGGCGCGGCGCGGGTTCGAGTCCCGTTCGGAGCAGCCGCCTTTTCAGGGCATGCGCGGTTTTATTATTACTCGAAGGTACCCGGCCACGCCACGCCACGCCCGCGCACTGACCACCGCAGGCCCGGGGGGTCCACGCGGCGGCAAGGGCGGGGGAGGGGGACGCTTTGCATAGTGGCCGAGGGTCCGGCCCGGCCTCCCTGCCCCTCCGCCGCACAGTGGGCCAGAAGACCAGACCATGGAGGCGGCCGAAACTCTAGACGCGTTTTGGGCTCCAGAGTCGTTAAACAGGACTCGAACCGAACGTGTGACGCCATCAATGGATTCCTCGTTCGCATCGAATCCATTGATGGGGTCACACGTTCGGTTCGAGTCCTGTTTAGCCACTCTGGAGCCCAAAACGCGTCTAGAGTTTTGGCCGCCTCCACCGGTCTTCTGGCCCACTGTGCGCCGCCAGGACGCTGCCGCCGGCCGACGCCGCACTCATGCCTCACTACGCCGTGCTCCGCCGCTCTGCCGGCCCGGAGAGCCTCGCCGCCGCTTGAGCCACTGCCCCACTCACTGGCCACTCCAGCGGTCCCGTTGCGTGCTCCGGGGGGCCCCGGGAGGGGGGGGGGGTCAGGCGCCTGGAAGGCCTGGAAGGCCTGGAAGCTGGACTCGAGTAGGGGGAGGGGGGATTCCAGCTGACCGGTCCGCCGGGCACCGGGCATCTGCACGCGTCCCGAAGGACCCGGCCGTTCCACGTGGTGGCGGGGCAGCCGAAGAATGCGGTCCTCCAGAACGCGAGGCGCAAGGACAAGGCGCAAGGACAAACACTAGGCGCAAGGACAAACACTAGGCGCAAGGACAAACACTAGGCGCAAGGACAAGGCGCAAGGACAAACACTAGGCGCAAGGACAAACACTAGGCGCAAGGACAAACACTAGGCGCAAGGACAAGGCGCAAGGACAAACACTAGGCGCAAGGACAAACACTAGGCGCAAGGACAAACACTAGGCGCAAGGACTCACACAGGGCCGCACAGGGCGCAAGGGCAAAGATTCGCTGCGACGCATTACGTTCGTGTTCGACATAGTTATGAGGCTCTTATTTTAAGCGTTCAGAAGGACACTAGTCTTTAGTGCTATCGCAGGACTTATAACACGTCATTGGACGCATACACTCTCATTCTAGGAACGTGACATCACGTTGAAACGAACGTGACAAGCTGTCACGTTCGTTTGAGCATTGTGTCACATCGTTTGGGTGTGAATGGCCGAAAATCAGCTCGTTCACATTCAAACGAACGTGACACAATGCTCAAACGAACGTGACCACTTTGCCAAGCAGTTCGTTTCAACGTGATGTCACGTTCCTGGAATGAGAGTGTAGCTATAATAAGAGGCATAAGGACATCTCTAGAGTTATCTTGGGACTAACAAGTCAAGACTCAAAACAACATCACAACTCAGTCTGGGCTTAAAATTGGACTCTAGTAGTCCCAGCAGGCCTCTGAAAGTAGTAAGCGTGCCTAAGATGGAAAAAAAAGGGGCCCAAAATTCGCAAAAATTCGCAAAAATGCAATAATTTTTTCCCTCGGCATGTAGCGCTTGTAACCGTGGCCATTTGCGAGATATCGACTCGTGAAATGAGGCGTTTCGTTCAGATACGGATCTGCGCCGGCGGCGGCCTGCAGTGGCCCGTCGGCCCGCCGGCCCGTCCCGT